AACCTCTTGAAATTTTCAGAGGTATTTTGATCGTTTTATTTTATTAAAAATATTCTTTTAATATTTTTCACTAGTACGTGTCAAAATAGTTTATAAAAAAAAGATTAAAAATAAAATAATGTAGAGATGTGACATTGTGATTAGGACAATGTTAACCCTCCATTTAGAATAGATGATTGGATAAAAGGGAAATATATAAGTTTTATGTTGTAGGGGAAACATAAAAAGCGTATCCAAATAATTTTAAAATGAGATAGATCTTAAAAAGAAGAAGTTTTTCAGGCCAGGTGGGCCCTAGCTCCATCAAAGAGTTCGGGCCGGGTTGGTCACGGACAGTTTGGGCCTTAGACCGGGTCATTGGCAGCCCGAACAGACTTTAAATTATGACCACCACCACCCCGACAAACTATAATTACTAGAATGCAATAAGTACTGCATGGATTCTAAGGTCTAACGCTTGAAAACAGCAAAAGGTTAAAAAAAAAGCACTTCAAATGAATAAGTTATTAATGATTTTGGGGGCCGTTTCCCAAGTGGAGCACAAGCAAAGAGCTTATGAAACTCTCTGATCAAAAGCCCCACGCACAACAAGAAATTACCAAGTCCCAAGACACTCAACTTCCCTTCCCCCTTCCAAAAGCGCGGGCCCCAAACTTGTACCCTCATTGTACCGGGCCAAGGCCCACACAAAAGTCAGGAGCCACGAATCCACCAGCCCAAACCAAACACTGGGCTCAGTCCAGAGGCCTGATCAACCAGCATTGCGCCTCTCATTTCCTCGTCTTAGAGCACCTGAACCAAAGGATCAAAAAACAGAGCACCCTGTATCCACAAACAAAGAGCAGCATCACGGCCACGTTGCTCCACTTCTGCCTCACCCTCAGACCCTGTTGCTCCAAAAACCCGGCCCCATCGAGCGCGCAGCCACCAATGCCCTGCTGTAAGCACCGGGAGCCCCCGGTGCCCGTGTACTCGTTGATCAGGAAGGCCTCGAAGGGGTACTTGAAGAGGCTCAAATAGTGCATGAAGACCCAGTATTTTGGTATGCTCCCCTTTGAAATGAAATAACCAGAGAAGAGGAAGAAGGCACCCATGAAGCCAGCAATGAGGGAGTTTCCCATTATGAAATTAGGCACCAGTGCGCTGAAGCAGGCAACGAATGAATTCGCCATGAGAAGCACCAGCCACACCACGCCCACGAAGTAGGTGAAGGCGGGGAACCCCTTCCGGAGGCCGACGAGCCAGTACACAGGAATAGAGTATAGGAGAGCCACCATTAACAAGAAGGGGATGAACACTAAAGCATTGGCTATAACGTAGGCTGAGACCCTGTAAGCTCCTCTAGAGGTTTCTCTGGTTAAGATTTTCCTCTCCTGTAAGTAGATGGGGAGCCCCTCTGTTGTGGAGGAGAGAAGGAAAGTGAGACTGAAAGCAAAGAAACCAACCTTCTCTTGCATTCCTGCTTCACCATAGCCGATGTTTAGAAATATCGTTCCGAGCCCGAACCCTGCAACTAAGGCCTGCAGGGTTCGGGCCGCGAAGAGCTGCTTTGTCCTCAGAGTGTTCTTGCAAAACCTGCTTGTTAGTATGGACACCTCGCGCACCCATGAATTGGCATAGCCCATGGATCTGTCTGAGCGTACAGAGCAAGACTCGCCTTTGTCTGATGTTGCTTTTCCATGGCGAAATTGATCAGATAGGAGGAAGAGCTCGTTGAGAGTTGCAGAGTGGTGCAGGATCTTGTGCCTTTGCAAGCTATCCATGGCGTCGATCGCAAACTCGAGGACATTCACATGAGGAGGGATACGGTTCCCGGCGAGCTTGAGCCTGGTTTCGAGCAACCCAAGTGAGCCATGGTGCAGGACCGACCCGTCTTCTAAAAGCAAGACCGAATCCACCAGCTCCAGGATTCGAAATCCCGGCTGGTGTATGCTCAACACGATAGTTCGCCCATGCACCACCGCCATGTCCCGAAGCATCGACACCACCTGCAACGCAGAGGCGCTGTCCAGCCCTGATGTTGGCTCGTCGAGCAAGAGAACAGCAGGGTCATGCACCGTGTCGACACCGATGGAAACCCTCCGCCGCTCACCTCCAGAGATCCCCCTTGCATCCTCAGCTCCCACCCTCTGTCTCGCCACATGCTCCAGGCCAAGCTCACGCACCAGCGTGCGCACCCTGCATGCTCTCTCTCTCGCTCCGCCCCTCACCCGCAAGCACGCACTGTACATGAGCGTCTCCTCCACAGTGAGCAAAGGGAACAACGCGTCATCCTGGGTCACATACCCCGATATCCTCCTCAACCTCGACCCGTCGATCGGCTTACGATTGACAAGAACCTCCCCAGAAAAGCTCCCCGGAGACACCTTCCCAGCAAGGATCTCTAGAAGGGTCGATTTTCCCGCACCGCTCGGCCCAGCAATCGCCAGGATCTCCCCCGGCCGAGCCTCGCAGGTGACACCGCACAGAATGTAGCGCGCCTTGGCACCCGAACCCCGCCACCAGTGGCCGTCGCGCGGGACCAGCTTGTAGCTCAGCTTGTTGGCCTGTAATGTGTATGCTGGCTTCGCTTTCTGTGAAGAGAACCCATCGTTTTTTGCTATGAGCTCCATTAGCAAAGAGGGAAGAAGCAGAGCAATGGTGGTGACATGAGAGAGTGGTGTAGTGGTACTGTTTGGGTGGTGGGTTGGTGCAGGAAGAGTTGAGCTAACTGCACCAAACTGGGGAGTGTTCAGAAGAAGGAAAACACGTTATTGACCGGGCCCTCTCATTGCGGGTCACGTAAATAAGGTTTGAAGGCGGGGGTTTCGATGGGCAGGGCGTGATGCAGCAGGTGCACTCACCAACTACCGTCCTACTCCCAACGAACTCACGCAGCAAAGGCGTTTCTTCACTTCAGGCCCTTCACCTCCCTTCCATTGGACATGGGTTTCTAGACCTATGGCTTCTTGTAATATTATTAAGGAAAAGTATACGACAAGACCATTTTCCTTTTGGTCGCGATTAATCTTGGTCATTGGATGTAAAATTGGGTGGCCGCATTTATTTCATTGACCAATTTTAAAGTTCAAAAAAATAGTTTTCGAACTTTGTGATACACTCTAACTATCAAATTTCACTGCGGATGATTGTAAGCATTTGTGACCTCCATGCATTAAAGGTAAACAGTCTCATTATATACAATTTCTATTATTAATAGAAAATGTATACAATGAGACTATTTATCTTTGGTACAAAGTAGCCGCATTGGATGGTTGTAAGTAATTATGACATCTTTGTATCAACACTAACTTGTAGAAAACATCTACAATAAAATAAATATGTTGTGCAAATGGCTTGATGATCTAGAGTTATCCCCCTCCAAGCAAGTAATAAATAACGATGGGGAGATTGGGAGGACATAACCCAACTTGTGACTCCCATTGTCTCCCAAGTTGGATGGCGATAAGGGTGGCAATGGGCCAAGATGCCCGGCCTGTCAGCCTACTCTAAAAAAACCTAGGGTCAAGGCTACGAAATGTGCACGATCAACCCAGCTCTAAAAAAACTAGGGCCTAGGCCACAAAATGCAGCCTAACCATCAGGCTGGGGCTGGGCAATCACGACCTGAGGGTAAGGCCGGGCCACGCTGGGCATGGGCCACGTCCAACCCAGTTCAGCCTGGCCTGACCCTTGTTTTCTTTGTTTCTTCCTTTTTTTTTTTTTTTTATTTATTTGGCTCAGTCTGGTCCGTCCTTAATAAAGGAAATGACTTGGCATGGGCTAAAGCCTTTTTGGCCGGTTCAAGGCCGAGCCGGGTTTGGGCTGGCCCGTTGCAACCCTAGATGGCGATAACGCTGCTGGCTTTAACATGGCGATGTCCATCATAGCGCACAGCCACACTTATCCACTTTCACATCCCCCTTATTTAAGACATAAAGAAAGACTAAGGGAAATTATTAAAAATATATTTTAATTTTTGGATTATTGAAAATAAACCTCAAATTTTTCAAAGCCTCATCCATATCATTTTTTTCCATTTTTTGTGTCTTTTTAACCAAAATAGCCTTTACAGTAGTCTTAAGACCGCGAAGACATCATGGTAGACTCACTACTGTGATGGTTGGGTGGTTTAATGTTTTGAGGTATCACGGTATTTAAACAGTTGTGATGGTCGTTGAGAGGCATCACGACACTTAAAAAGCTGTGATGGTCATTAAGAGTTATTATACCCTATGATGAAGGTATAACAGTTAAATTAGAATCGTGATAGTCCAATAAACCATCACGGTTCTTTAAGTGCCGTGATGCTTCAAAACTACATTTGACTTACAACCGGCCATGAGCATCACAGTTTTTAATAGACCGTGATGCCTTCATAGTTCTAAGACTACTGTGAAGGCTATTTTCGTCTACTCACCCAGAAAGGGGTTTGGATGAGGTTTTGGAAAGTTTACGATTTATTTATAATAAATCCAAAAATTAAGGTATATTTTTTATAAGGAAAAAGTTTATATAAAGCTAAGGCTTTAAGCAATCAAATTAGAGCCCACCCCAAAAATTTTACTAGAAGAGGTTGTTTTAATGTCCTCAAATTGATCATCTCATCAAGATGCATGGACATGAGAAAAAATTGGATTTCAAGTTTTGGAAATAGTGCATCTTCTAATGCATTTTAGACCATCAATTTTCAAGTTTTCATAGATCTCCTCGATCTATACTATTTTTTATGCTTTAAATTTTATAATTAAATATGAAAATATATTTTAAGGCTATCACTAAGATTTTCAATATTGAAACCACATTTCTCCACATTATTTGAAGGTGTGCTTTACTTTGATTATTTAGAACCTCGGCTCTATACAAACCACACCTTTTTTTATAATTTCTCAAAGATTAAAGGAGGCTGTGCTTAGTGTATTCATAAACTATGGGGCTCATCCCTAGAATATTTGAGAAATCTTATTTTTTAATAAATTACCTTGTTGTTGTTGGTAATTCGGAACTTTAAACATGTCCAAGAATGGGGTTGGGGTCGTGGTGGTAGCGTCACTTGTGCCCAAACTAAGGTCTAGGCTTCCATTCTTACCTAACACATTAAAAAACCACTAACGATTTCAAAAACGGATAGAAGCTCGTCATCTCCACTAAATTATCTACAAAAAAACCAAAAAAACAAAAATTTAATGCATCTTTTTAAAACTAGTCCGTAGTTCCCCGGATATCCTGTTTGTTTAATGGTGATGAGGAGTTTGAAAATACAATAATGCATAAAAAAAAAGTTTGAAAATACAATAATGAAAGAGAAGACATCCATTGAATTCAAGGGACATGGTTCCTCTCCCCAACCATCTTATCTATCGTCGGGGACCTGAAAAATCTAAACCGCATTTTTGCCCATTTACCACTATTCGAACACTACCATTTTGCCCATTTGCCACTATTCAAACATAAGACCCTGTGTTTTTCCATGAAAAGAAATAAAAAGATATGGCAAAGTGTTAAATTGTTCATCTCTCATTGATATATATATATATATATATATATATATGAAAATATTAACATAAACGTTGAAAGAGAAGAGAGTGTACATGATAAAAAAATTGGGCACCTACAGACCGGGGCCTCTATACAAAATATAGCTTCTCACATATAGGGAGCTCTATACCAAAAACTACCCGTAAGCGGGGGTGTAAAGTACAAGTCCAAAAATAAGTACAAGGGGAGAAATTCCTATCGTGTTACAAAAGGTCGCAGTCTACCGAAAAACTTGGACATTATTGCTTGCGGCACTATCTTTAGCAAGAGCGTTGGCCTTTCAGTTCCCCTCCTTCCAAATATGCATCCACAAAACGTTCATAGCTATATTTTATTAAAAATTGGTGCTAGTGACCAAGGGCATCTAGAGGAGCCATAGCCCTAGGAAATGACACTCTTGGATCAAGATTGAGCTCCAAGAGGGTTCCAAGAATTTGAGGCCTTCGAAAAGGGCGAGAGCCTCAACCGATTAGGAGTCGTGATGGCCAGTGTGCTTTGAGAAGGAAACTAGGGTTGTACTTGTGTGGTTTCTAATTAGTCCTTCGATACCCATAGGTCCAGGGTTGCCAAAGGAGCAATCGTCAAAATTCAATTTTGATTGGTCTAATTCCAGCAATCTCCACTGGGAGACACATGGAACATGGGGATGTTCTCTTGGCCCAGATGACCCGAAGTGTAGCTACGACCATGGCCTGGGCCCAGATGACCCAAAGTGTAGCTATGACCATGGCCTTCCACAAGAGGATACTGAATTTAGGTTAAAGAAAGAAATGGAGGGAAGTAAATTTAGGTTAAAGAAAGAAAGGGAGGGAAGTAAAGAGGTGGGGGAATGACTTGGGAGTCGCCTATTACCAACTGAAATGTCGAAAAAGAGCCGTCATATGCTAGGGGCCAACGGATAAATAAGTAGGCGTTGGATTCTTATGGAAATATGTACAATGAGAGTTTTTTTAAGAAATAGTCTCCAATTCCATTTACGTTTAACTTATGGAAATATGTACAATGAGACTATTTGCTTTTGATACATGCATATCACAAATCTTGATTTAAATTGGGTGGCTGAAAATGTGACATTATTTATTCACCTAATTCAAAGTAAAATTTCTTAAATATCGTGACACCTTCACTTATTGGATATCACATCCAATGACTAAAACTGATTATAATCTCTTTGTACAGAAAATAAATGATTTACACAATTTCTTAACTTATTAGTCTACATTGACAACTTCAAACTTGCATTACATATTTTTAGCAAGTGTAAAAGAGGATTATGTTAAAAACAGATAAGAATTCATAAGGGGAAAATTATCAAAAATACCAAGGAGAGTTGCACTGTTTGTCATTTTGCATGTTGATCATGTGCATTTTTATAAGTATTTTAAGAAAAAATTTAAAAAAATGTGCAAAGTGATAATAGTGTACCTTTAATAGATATTTTGATAAATTTCCCTTTAAAACAAAGAATACAACTATGAATGCCTACTAAACAAAAACTTTTTAGCACTACAGATTCTTACCAAAATGGCGTGTTGGCTTTGCCAGTATCCCATAATAATCTCAAGACGCAATCCCTTCAACATCTTTCCTAGAAATTAATTTGTAGCATCAACTTCCCAATGATCATGCATCAAATAGCTATGAAGTTCCACTTACTGAAAAGAAATAATGATAAAAACAACCACCAATCAGTGGTTGAGACCCATTCTATGCAAACCAAGAAATGCGTTTTACCTTCAGGTGCAAACAAGATTAAAAGAGAAGATCAAAATTCTGACCACATATACAGACCAGATAAAATGATAATCAAACAGTCAATGACCACAAAGTTTGAAAACGAAAGCAAAAGGTACTGCTCAGCATGGCTGAGCACCTAGAACTCAACTGCAAACCGTCACAGTTAACAACTATATTCCCCACAACGAGGGGTACATAATATCCAAAGCAAGTGCGAAAAAGCTATAATTGTCAAGTCCTACACTTCAGCATAATACTGCAACCTTTGTCCCCTATACTTCAAAATATCAGGGAGAAACCTCATTAATAGTTTCTATTTGGCATGGGAGGCATATCTCTGACAGGCATTTCTCTGCCTTGATAGTTACCCGGAGGCCCTTGATAGTTGCCAGGAGGGCCTTGATAATTACCAGGAGGCCCCTGATAGTTGCCTGGAGGCCCCTGATGAGGCCCCTGATAGTTGCCCGGAGGCCCCTGATGAGGCCCCTGATAGTTGCCTGGAGGCCCCTGGTGATTGCCAGGAGGCCCCTGATAGTTGCCTGGAGGCCCCTGATTATTGCCAGGAGGCCCCTGATTATTGCCAGGAGGCATGCCCCCCATGTCCCTGTTGGGTATATCCCTGTTCTGGAAACCCGTGTTTGGCATTCCAGCCGTTTCTCTGTTGGGGAAATTTCTATTCTGAAAATCTCTATTAGGCATGTCTCTGTTTTGGTAGTCCATGTTTGGGCCCGGACCCATATCTCTTTGAGGCATATCACTCGGAGGCATCGGATTCTGACTGCCACGGTTCTGGAACTCTGGATTAGGCATCGGCGGCATGTCTCTGTTCTGCATGTTCTCTCTCCTCCGCTCAAAATTCCTTGACCTATCAAAATTCCGGGGCCTGTCACTGCGTCTGGACCTCTCATTTGCACGTGCATTGTTCCTAACCCATTCCTCATGGTATTTGGGATCATATGGAACAGCTTTTCCATCAATAAAAGGTTCTCCTGCACAAAAGCAAAGTGAAAAAAAGAAAATTTTAGCAACTTGACTATGCATAGAGAACAGTCAACAGTAAAGTAGGAGAGCCATTTCAATTTTGATGCCTCAACAAACCAAGAAATCAACATCGCACTGTAATGACCAGATGATTTCGCATTCATGTTGAAATAACAGAAACTAAAAGTATGTCCTGGACTGAATAAGCTTATTTTAGTTTATATGACGTTATGCAAGTACATTACACAATGGAACAAACACTTTGGTTTGGATTTATCTCTCTCTTTTAAAACATACAGGAGCGGTGCCTACCTCCATAGTCCTTATTCTTGACATCCAGATATGAATCAGGAAGAACCCATCGAACCTTCGGCAAAGCTGTAATGCACCTCATAAACAACATAAGTAAGACACCTTCGATAATTATATTTGATTGCATAAAAGAATGTTACAAATCACATACGTTTAAGCTTGTAGGACAGCTCCTCTGACACAAGGCATCCAAAAGCAAAGTAGTGTCGGGTTGAAACAGAATAGATCTTCATCCTAGCTTCCTCTTCGCTGCAAACAAAACAAAAACAAAGTAATACAACTGCCAAAAGCAGAGACAAGAAACATTTTTATCTGAAATGACCAAAATAACCCTGATACATGCAAGCGAAACACTCTAAAAAACTTCATGTCCAACTATTCATTTGGTACAACCCAGACATGCATCTTTAAAATCGACCAAAACAATCCCAAATAATTAATATGTACAAACTACCACAATATTCACATAAATGTATGTGTTCGGGCTCACACATGTATAAGCACAAACACCATACCCACAAAGGAAGAAGAAACAACCAAGTAAAAGCTACTCCAAACCTCAAACAAATAAAAAATTCAACCTCAAACTATCAAAAAGTGCAATAGAATACAAACATACAAAAAATGAACTTTCATAAATAAGTCCATTTTCTAATTCATATGACAATTTAACTGTTGAATAAACAAAAATTATCAAATTAAAAGACAAAAAACCTGCATATAGTCAAAGAATTCTATGCATAACTATAGGCCATCTTTTCAGACTCAAGTATCGCACAAAAAAAAAAAAAAAGTAAAATGTGTATGCTTGTTAAACAATTTCATAAACAAGGAAACATAATTGTGTGACAATACTCGAGTCTCATGCTTAAACAGTAATAATTAGTTATACTGCTTTTTTGAAAATGTGACTCTTTATATTAAAAGCAGTGTATAAGTTACAATGTCGGAATACAAATTGTAGCATGTGAGTATTGGGGATTTGTACAAAATTTCCCCAAAAAAAAAAAAAAATTTCCTCCTCAAGATTGGGGTCTAAAACAATGAAAACTAAACCGCACCGAACAGGAGAGGCTGGTCCAAACTAGGAACCCATGGCTAGGCTGCCCATCCAGTCCAAACTACAATACTGGACCAGATGGTCCCGCAACCTAGCAAAAGACTGGTGCACCACCAGTCCAATGCCAAACAAGCTGGTCCCAAAGTTCAATCTTTAAAAGACACAAATTCACCTCTCTTTTTTCTCTCTTCTAAACAAAAACCCTTCGCTTTTCATCATTTTTAACTTCTTTATGAGCATTTCAGTCATTTCCAATGTAAAGAAAGGTTTAGGGTTTTTAAAACAATACTTTTGAAGAGAGAGCTCCTTCAGGGATTTTTACTTTCCCTCCCTCCCTCTCCCTCTTGTGCAAGGGGTGGTTGGAGGGACATTTTCCTGGCAATTTTCGAGGGTGAATCTGGCCATAAATCAGCACTTTTGAAGCCCAAGTAGGCTTATCCAAACATTTTTTTATTGTTTTGTTGCTGGAAAAGATAGAAAAAGCCAAACTTCTGTGGTTTTTTGCAAGAAATCATAAAATGTGTCCTGAACCTCTTGGTTTGTGGTTATTCAGGGTGCCTTTTCATGTGGAAAAAAATTCAGCATATTTCAATTCTTTAGTTGTTTTTACATGTCAAAAAATCCATAATTAATGACCCATTTAATGTGAAACACAAATTTGATGCTATTTTCATTTCCCCTTTGACACCATTTTTGTTGATTTTTCAATTAGGGTAATCTAGTACTCTCACTATTCCTTCCTTTTTCTTAGGGTATGTTGTTTAATGTCTCAGTAATACATGTATACTACATTTATTTCTCATGGTTGGATGTCTCAATAGTAGTTGTATACCACTTTTATATCTCATGATGGAATTCATTTTTTTGCAGTTATTGCCCACTTTTATTCATTGAGTAGGCCTATTTCAAGGAATAGGCCAAAGCGCTCACCAATTAATTAGTAAAAAAACATAGAAAATAATCATTGCTTGACGAGTAACAATTTTTTAAAATTTTTCTACTTTTAGATTTTTCCACTTTTCCATAATTTTCTCTACTTTTCCTTTTTATTCTTTTTATTGATTTTTTACTTATGCAAATTTTCGATCATGTTCCCCCCACCCACAAAAGACGTTGCTTTTTACATTGATACAGGTTTTTCATATTTTAACTTTTTCCCAAAATGCTCCAATTTTACCTTTAAGATCCGAAGCAATAATGGAGTTAATTTTTTTAAATTGTGACTTTGGACCTTCAACATTCAAAATCATATCTAGAGTTTGAACCTTCAAGGTATGAAGTCAAGACACAAAGTCAAAACCCTCACCTCACAAAACTCACCTCAACACCAACTCTCAAGAAGTCTGTACGATTTGTATTAGTTTTATTAGTTCAGAGTGAGTTATGTGAGGTGAGGGCCCTCGCTTTCGGACCTTCAACGTCCGAAGATAAGAAATTACTTCAGATCTTGAAGAAGGTCCAATGTCACAGTTTAGAAAAAAATGATTTAAGATCTTCAAGTTCCGAAGTCATCACATAAGTTATTACTTCAGATCTTGAAAGTTTGATGTGGGGGTATATTGAAAAGACGGTATTGATATAGAGTACAACATTTTGTGGGGCTTCTTTAAAGGGAAATTTATCAAATTGCTCACAAGAGGAGCAATTAAACACTTTACCCATGTGCTTTGACTTAATTTTAGAATACCCATGAAAATACACATGGTCTTGAGTTGGAATAATTGCATATGGGTAAAAAATCAAATACCTTATCTTTTATAGGTATTTTGATAAGTTTCCTTTCTTTAAAAATCATGCAAATTTAGGGGGTCATGAGAGTAAACTTCCCTTGGCTTTATTGGACCAGTCTGACTAGACGGGTGGCCTCACCAGTTCAATAATTGGTCTGGTCTAACCTAGATTGGTCTAAAAGATATTTGAATGGTGCAGTACAACTCAAAGATTTGGTCGAAGATCGGTCGCAGTCTCCAAGCACAAGAGGTTAATCTTCTCGCCCAATTGGTCATGTTCATTGAGTCGCCTTCGATCAGCATAAGAGATCCCCAACTACTATCAGATAGTTTCAAGTCCAAAAGTAGAGCCTGAGCCTTAGAGGGGTACAGTTCGTGTGTTTAATAGCGCGCCTGAGTAAGCAAGAATGGTTTCAGCAGAGCAAGATGCCACATATGCCAGCTGCACCTAGGTTCTCAAATGAGCAGCCAATGGAGTTAGTTTGGTGGCACCAAAGGCAGGTGCGACCTGAAGTGCAATATTTGGATATGGTCATCGGTTTGAAGGAAAGGTGTTCCGACTGCTACTCAAAGTCCAACCCATAAAAATGTGTGAAACACATTGAGCTTTCAAGCACAAAAGATAATGGTTTGCTTTCAGTTGGTACATGGTCAGATTGTGGGATTCTTTGCTTTCAAATACTTTTGTTTTGCTAAAGTTTGATTGTCCATGGTTCCTCTCTAGGGAATCCCGGCCAGGCAGGTATAGGAGGGATTTTCGGGAACTGCAACAGTATCACCATACACATCTACTCTCTTCCTATCAGGGTCGCAGACTCCACTGAGGCAGAATCCAGAGCTCTTCTTGAAGGTCTCAAATGCTTAAGATCCTACATGGGGTCATCCCCTTCTTGTTGAAGGGGATTCGAAAAATGTCATATCGTGGGCATCTGGTTCTTCAACTCCTCCGTGGAGACTATGGGCTATATTTGAAGAGATTCACGACTTCTGCAGGCGTATTCCAGTCTCATTGATGCATACCTGGAGGAAGGCCAACTGACTCGCTGACGAGCTACCCAAACAGAGAGCAGCCTCTTCACTACTACTAGTATAATGGATCCATAGCTACCTTTTTGCCACTTTTGTCTCTAGATTTTTTGGCCTTTTTTCTCTCTCCTCCTTTCTTTCCTTTCTTGCGTCTTGTTTGTAGGGCTTGTGTAGCCTTTTTTCTTTTTTCTCTTTTCTCTGCTGGTTGCACCCAGCGGTCACCTTCCGCGGTGACTTTTGCCCCTTTGGTTGTGGGTTTGTATCTTTGTATTTCTACTCTAACAATACAATGTTAATTTCTCTCAAAAAAATAAAGCTTCAATGTCCATGTGATTGCCAAAATGGAAGCCAGCATAGAAGCAGGCCTAAGAAAGGCAAGGTGGGAGGGAAGTGAGAACCGCCGTTGACCGTTTCAGGTGTTACCAAACCCATCCAAACTGGTTTAACATAAAATGCAAAGCCGGTGGCCAGCATGCGATGAATAATTTGATCAAGTGACTCCATGCTATCTTTGCACAACAGAAACTTTTTGATGAGATAAATTCCTCTCCGCTGCAAGTGGTTAATTGCTAGAATCTTTTTGGAGATGACAAGCCAGTTAAAGACCAGGACCTTGGGTACGGGTAGGGTGAACCAATCTCTCGAAGCGGCGATGGGCTGATGGGTCTGGTTGATTTGGGTTACGTCAGTAGACAAAGAAGAAACAGCGATCTTACCAATGGGAAAAGAGTGCCAATGGGAAAGATATAGGTCACAGAATTCCTCCTCCTAGGACCTTTCATTCAACCAAGTATCATTCCAAAACCTGATCACCTCCACAGTTTAAGCCGTAAGCCAAATCCCTTTTTAAACACCAAAAAGGACGCAATCACCGCTTCCAAGCAACCAGTCCAGACATCGGCAGCACCTATGGGTATCCATCCAGACTCATCTAGCCCAAACCTGTGTAGAATGACCTGCTGCCAAAGTACTTGGGTGGCAAAGCGCCCCATTGACTTGCCTAAGATGGCAGTAGATCTCTGACTTCTCTGATGCCTAAGCCCCCTTCCTTTTTAATTTTTACACTCTGATTCCCATCTAACTGCATGGAAATGATATAACTACCATTCTAATCAAGCATTTAGAAGTCGCATACCTAAACTCCCAAGGACCCTAAGGAAATAAAAGAAACTCACATTTGTCATAGCTCTCATCCACTTCATCAGATAAGGAGTCTATTTATCTCAGTCCATCAGAGACGAGGTTAAATCCTAAGTTCTACCCAACTGCCTCTTCACCCTGGCTCTTCATTTCTCTGTCCAATATTTTAATTTCTTTCACAACCTTAGGATTCCATGCTCGCTTCTTGCAAATCAGTTGTGCTTGACAATAAATCATTCTAACTTCATTCGTTCTAAACAAGATAGTAGAATAATTCTAGCTGCTTTATTGTC